AAAAAATCGAGGAGTTTGTAGCACGAAACATTTTACCTGCAGCAATCAAGGAACTTTTGTTTTTTAAGTGTTTACTTAGGCTAGTGGTCATCACATGTGAATAAGTGTACATATTTTTGAATGTTTAATCAAAATGACTGTCATTTATTTATACGAAATTTTTTAATAATCCGTAATGTTTCATAGTGTTATACCACACAGACAAAGCAGACCCTTAGCATTACAGTACATGTGAGAAACAGGCTTTGCAGAGCAAAACACAACAACAAAGCTGCTGGTGAACACAGCGTGTCTGTATGCATTGATTTACGTATTATGAATCTCAACAATAGCCTTTAAAATGTCTATTAGATATCACATAATACTGTCATGATGCTTTAGAAAGAGCAGCCAATCAAAAGCAAGAAAGGTATCAAGTTAGTAAAGCAGGTTTAAAACGATATCTGAGGCTGGACTTTGTGTCGCACGCACCTTGAGTGTGTTGTCTCTACTGGAAAGAGCTTGGACACTTAATGTGGACATTCAAAACCATTTCTGTCTCTTCTTAGTAGCCTCCTCGTCCAAGCACTCACCATTACCGTATCTCACTGGCCGTTACACAGAGAAACCAAAGACTGCGGATGATTCCACTGGGATGATTTGGTGAGAAGCCATAATTATATTAGATTAGGACCCTGCAGCAGACAGCTCATCTTCGACCACCTCGGCACCACAGGTTAGACAACAGAGGAGAAAAAAGATTAAGTGCAAAGAGGAGGTAGAGGTGCAAAGTCATCAAATCAAATCTCAGCCTTTTAGCCATTTGGCTGGCCAGGATCCGCTGCTGACAGGGTTTTTCTGCACAGCCAGAGGTCTTGGATTCTGTCTACATGCTGACTCCACATATGATCCCTATTAGGGCCTTGCGGGACCCCGCACGCCTTACTGTCTAACAGAGCAGGTTTGCACAAACTGAGGGCGATGTAAGTGTTAACAGGTACCGCTCAGGCGGCAATGTTTAGACGCACACATATCTATCTTGGAAATGACCAAGGTGGGTATACATCAGTCAAGGTCATCTCTTATGTGCTTTGATTTATATGTCAAATTTTATCAGTATTGTTGATGACCAGCATCTGAAGAATTAAGCGTGTTTTGCAGAGGGTTTTGTGGAGCGTTCCATATGCATTCAATTCGTATTCCGTGTTCCCTGTAGGAGCTTTTAACTGGAACGCCACCTCAAGTAAAACCCACAACAACCTCGACTTCAGAATCCAAAATGGCAGCTCAGCATATAAATGGTAGTGAGAAAGTAGAAATATATTGTTTATTAGCATAAACTCTACAGTGCATACAATATCCAACCTTGATCTGTGAACATGATACTTCCACGTTATTATTTTGGCAGTATTTTATGTACTAATATAGCTAACAATTGATGCGTCCATCTTGGTTTTCTTACTTGTGCACTGGAACATGGTCAACACGGGTTCGACATCAGCTCCGACATCCGATTTCCAAAGTATGTTAAATGGAACCCAACATTAAGGCCCATTCTCACCAACAACAATAACTATAATAATAAACATATTAGCGTCTACATCAATGCATGATAACGTTATGTTTATTATAAGCGCACTAATTGGACCCTGATTGGCTGTCATTGTTTTCATCTTTCATCAGCTGGAAAAACTCATTTTGGAAGTCATTCCAGCAATAACATTGCTCTGTGTCATTATTGTTATAGTTGAGGTGTGAACTCTGCTATACTTTTACATTTTTAAAGAATGAAAGATTAAAGGAGATGAGGATCAAATAAAAGATCTCTAAAAGAACAATTTATCTTTAGTGGTTTTTCTACTTGTTGGAAACATGTCATATATTACGTTCATATATTACAACCTGGTTTAAAACCATGGTCTGCTTTCTCTCTTCTGATATAACTCAATTGATTACTAGTAAACAGCAAAGAGAAAGTGTGCAGGAGAGAAGACGTCAACAGGGACAGCAGCAGCGATTATCCAGGTTAAATTTTTATCTAAACTAACTCCAATTGACCAATGTCCTCGTGTCTCTAGGGATTGCATTATAGTTTTTATCCACTTAGGCAGAGTGGTCATCTGCAGCTGTTCTCATGCAGAGACAGTGGCAGGGAGTGAGAGCAAGAGAGCGAGAGAGAGAATTAGGCATGCAAATCCTAATTTATTTAGCATTTGTTCCACTGTGACTCATATTGTTGCTGTATTAATATTAAATAAATACCTTGGATTTTCATATTAATACACAAGGGTTTTCTCACATTAATTCACAACTTTATCCCTCATCCTTTTCGATTCTCATGCACTATTCATTCATTCTCATGCCAAACTCTACAGTATCAGCATGCAACAGTGCCTTACAATTCTCACCGCCAAGTACTAACTGCACAGATACGCTGATATGCATACAATTGTGCCACCATCTTGAGTGAAATATACATATCTTGTGGCTGCCTGGTACTCACTGCAAGTCCCAGAGGCAAAAGAACTGTAATCTTGCAAGCGGAAGTCATTCCCATCTGAATAATTGATGAGAAATGATTGGCATAAGAGGTGGCATGTGCCCATAGTGTTTCAGCTGAGACATTCATCATAAATGACAAAACAACTGGCCATGCAAGGTAAACAACACCTTTTAAGTTCGAGCTTTTCCAAAGAAAATACAAATTATGGTTTTATAAAACATTTTAGGATTAACTATAACTTACAAATATTGACCAAACAGTGAATTTAGGTTAAGAATAGTTCACATTTTTATTTGAAATACTGACAATTTAGAAAATATAAATAAACATTGCTTTACATATGCAAAATAACCCTTATTATTAGTATTATCCGTATGTTGCATTCCGAAATGTGTATTTGCTTGCGCTCCGCAAGTTTAAATCTTGGTTATCTAATCTCAAATGTACTAATTTCTTATTCCCGCGGAGGGAGGGTGAGACGCTGATTTGAACAGCTGCTTCATGACCCAAAAAACTGTCAGTCTTTCCCTGGAATAAATTGTGGAATGTTCCATTTTTTTCAGGCAGGGACGCGTAAGGTTCTTTATGCAATGAATAAGAACGTAACGTTCTGAAATGTCTGTGAGTAAGATTGAAATGAATTAAAAAAGCTATTTAGTGATCAATCCAAGTATTCGTCAAATATAATTTGAACAACTGAACGATATAGAACACCTGCATTAAAATCATGTCAATTTACTGTACAGTACATCACTTCATACAGTACCAAGGGCCTGTTCCTATACCCACACTTGCTCTCTTGGCCACTACAAAGTGCACAAGACTGTCCCAGGTCTGAATAATCCCAAAGCTCAGTGGCTTTAACGGACACTAGATATCTAGGCTAAGCATATCCCATCATTCATTATGTTCAGCAACTGAAAGATTTTGAGGAAAACCTTTCATTATATAAATGTTAAATAAATTAGATATTACATATAATTTGGCAGTAAAACATAGGTGTTGAACATTTTTTTGGTACAGAATGTTAGTAACTAGTTTTTAACTACTTACTGTAGAAGCAGCATATTTAAATTGTTGTGGCGTCATCTGTTGCATATACACACCAGACAGCTTAGTGCATATCAACTAGTGATTATTTCATTAATACAAAAAATCTGAAGTATTTTCTTTTTTTCTTAGTACAGTCCGGTATGGCGCTCCCTGCCATACAATTAAAGTGAATGGTGACCAAGTATGTCAACAATTCCAAACAGTATTTTCATTGTGTAACTTACATACAAACACTCACACACAGCTACCATATAGCTTCAGAAAACTTGGAATAAACACTATTGGTCAAAAGAGGTCTCTTATGCTCAACAAGGATGCATTTATTTAATCAAAAATACAGTAAAAACAGTAATGTGAAATATTACAATTGAAAATAGAGTTTCTATTTTAATATATCTTAAAATGTAATTTATTTATTTGAGGGCAAAGCTGAATTTTCAGCATCATTACTCCAGTCTTCAGTGTCACATGATCCTTTAGAAATCATGCTAATATGCTGATTTGGTGCTAAAGAAACATTTCTGATTATTATCAATTCTGTTTCATATTTTTGTGGAAAATGTTATACACTGGCATTCAAATGTTTGTGGAAAGTAAGATTTAAAGAAATAATAAAATTAATACTTTTTAGGATGCATTAAATTCATGTGATATGACAGCAAATACATTTATGTCACAAAATATTTATGTTTCAAATAAATGCTGGTCAAATATTAAGCATTAAAATCCATTTCCAACATTCGTAATAATAAAAAACTATTTGAGTCCCAATAATAACTGACCACTAAAATGAGCAAAACATTACAAAAATCTTATTTATTCCAAACATTTCACTGGTAGTGTATGTATCCACTACTTTCATGATGCTTATTTTTGAGCTGGACAGCTCCTGGTCCCCATCCATGTTCATTGTGTGGAATAAGCAATTTGAACATTCTTTAAAACTTAACTGGCTTTTTTATTAAATAGAAGAAAAAATACAGTTTTGGAACAATATAAGGGTTTATAAATCATGGCAGAATTTTCATTCCTGCATGAAATGCACAATGCACAGCTGCTGAACCCTGCACGTCATTATGTTGACTGCACAGCTAATTCTTAAACTCTTCTGATATGAATTATTGAGTGACTATGCCACAGTTTTAGCAATTACAGATTATTGTGTTAGCTGCAGGGTCAAGCAGCTCTGAGAAGTAGGCATTCCTAGAAGTGCAGTCACCATCATGGACATTTTTTTAAATAGTTTCATTCATCTTTTTTATTGATTAACTTAAGAATGGAAGGATTTTTGTATTTTTGTTTACTTAAAAAGTTTTATGTTGTTTGATTCAGATTTATTTCATTCAGCAGACACTTTTATTTACAGTGACTTACAAATGAGAAATATAAAAAGTGATTAATTTTTTGAAGGTAATAACAGGAGAAGAGCTGACAATACAAACAGAAGAGTACAGTATTATGTTTCAACTTTAATGGTGTTTTATGTTGTTGCAGGTTGTAACAACATGCTGAAAAATGACTAGATGATTAGATATGATGTGGTCTTTTGTTCTCATATATTCATATTGTTCCCTTTAGTCACTTTTATATAATCGCACCATTCACGCAGTACATCATGTGCGGTTAACATGTCAAGTAAAAGAAAACAGTTCCAACTCATTAGTTTGATAAATGGTGCAGTATATTTACCGAGACCGCTCCGAACTGTGTTCATAGGTGCCATGTGCTGCCAGGTGTTCGTGTCTGGTTGATAGCGCTCAACCGTGTTCCATCGGTTGTCCCCGTCGAATCCTCCAACCACATACAGACTTCCCCCGCACGCGACGACACCGGCCCCCAGCCGCGCCACTGACATAGGGGCCACAAATGTCCAGCGGTTTGTCTCTGGGTCATACCTGTGAAAACAATAAGCAGGAAATCCTTACAAACCAGTTAAGATATTGTCGTCAAGGAATATGATTTCCTAGAAACAGCAATGAGGACGTCAATACAAAAGAGATTTCAATCGTTCTTTCTAAATGTCTCAGGCTCATCACTTCAAGAATGTGTTTTCCTTTATTCCAAACAATGATATCTAGTGCCAAATACCAATCATAAATGCAAGCAATTCCCATGAGTGGACCAACAAAATGTCCCAGTTTAAAAAAACAGCCTTCAGCAAGAAGAGGTTGCATTTAACCTGCCAACAATGCAATATCTCAGTTTAAAAGCTTGTGAAGACAGCTACTGTTACTGACCCAAGAGATTCTGTCTCTTCTGAGTCTTGAATTTCACACATCTTTGAAATTGCAGATGATCTATCGACGTTCATTGTTTGAATTTGCGTCTAACTCTAATTCCTAAATAGAATACACGTACTGTCTCTCCCTGCATTCCTGGACAGATTAACTTTCGATTTGAGCTGCTCACTCAGTCATAAATTATCCTCAATAGGATTCACATGGCTCTGTTATGAATCTGAACTTGTGCTCGTCTACTAGAAAGCTTTTCAAAAACTCCACAAATCCAGTTAAAACAAGAAATAAAAGATAGTTAATGAGGTATCATGAGATAGTTCATTTATCTTGTTTTTAAAAGAGATTAATACTTTTATTCAGCAAGAATGCATAAAATTGATCAGAAAGTATGTTACAAAAATGTTTATCCTGAAATGTTTCTTGAGCAAAAAAAAATAAAATCAGCATATTAGAATGATTTCTGAAGGATCACGTGACACTTAAAGGGGTCATATGATGTTGCTAAAAAGAACATTATTTTGTGTATTTGGTGTAATGAAATGTGTTTATGCGGTTGAAGCTTTAAAAAAACACATTATTTTCCACATACTGTACATTATTGTTTCTCCTCTATGCCCCGCCTTTCTGAAACACTTGCAGTCTGTGAGTCCAAACAGCCGGCATTGTAGTCTACTCTCCCAGGATCAGGAAACAGTCCTCCATAAAATGTGCTGCACACATCTGAATATTTGGGTTGAACTGTTCTGGAACAGTGTTGTAAATACAACTTAACCACTGATTTCTAGGTGTGTCCTCTTTTGGAAGGCCAAACAAAGTAGTTTCGCTTTCACAACGAAACACTCGGCGGGCTAGAGTGAGCGGAGGCCGGCGGGCTAGAGTGAGGAACGGCCGGCGGGCTTGAGGACGGCACGGCCAGCGGATTCGATGAAGGAGCGGCCGGCAGACTTGCGGCAACCACGTGTGACGACCCTGGGCTGGACTCCGCTTCGTCCACGGTGAAAGCCGATCCGGCGATCCACAGCGCGAAGTTGATGAATTTCCTCAGCGACCAGCACGGATCAGCTCTAGGCATGAGAAGCAGATATCGTCCTCTTTTGGAAGGCCAACCAAAGTAGTTTTGCTTTCACAACGTAACACACAACGTCTTCACGACATGGCGGCGGCAACAACAATACTACAGCGAGAATAAAAGTTATGCCTTTTTTCTTTGCGTGAACATTTGGGCGGCGTTATGCAAATCTTCCCACATCGTGACATAGACATGTGGGGGCGTGTTAGAACGAGCCGTTTTAGGTAGGCGTGGTTGACCCTTAAATTTTATAAAGAATATCTCTTTGGATCTGAGACTTTAGAACTTTACAGATCTTCTTTATGCACTAAGAGCTTGTAACACTTCAAAGAGAAAGGAAAAATTTAAATTGCATTATATAACCCCTTTAAGAGTAATGGCTGCTGAAAATTCATCTTTCCATCAAAGAAATAAATTAATTTAAAATTATAATAATATTTCACAACATGACCGTTTTTTAACTGTACTTTTGATTAAATAAATGCATATATGTATTTTTATATACGTATGTATTTTTCTTTGTTGTAAGTTCAATGTCTTAATTCTGTTTTCCATAACTTAGTTATTCATGTACTTTTGCATTCTGTACAATACTTTTGAAGAAAGTAAAATATCCTCATTTTGTAATTTGCAGCAAAGTCATTTAGACATTTCACCCCTTTATAAGCAAAAATAATTAAAGATAAGTCAAGATAATTTGTTCACTTATCATTATTAGCAAGACAATTAATGTAGTTAATGAGGTTATGCCACTTACATATTATGTTTTCTGGCTTAAATTTATCTTGTTTTTAAAAGAGATTAATATTGTTACTCAGCAAGAATGCATTAAACTGATCACAAAGTATATGTTGCAAAATATATCTATCCTGAAGTGTTTTGGAGCAAAAAAATAATAAATAAATAATAATAAAAATAAAAAATCAGCATTTTTGAATGATTTCTGAAGGGTCATGTGACACTGAAGAGTAATGTCTGCTGAAAATTAATCTTTCCATCACAGAAATAAATTGCATATAACCATTTTAAATGATAATATTTCACAATATTACAGTTTTTACTGTACTTTAGATTAAATAAATGGTGGGCATAAGAGACTTCTCTCAATAAAAATTTTTAACGATAGTGTCCATACATAAATTTATTTTTCATTGTTGTACATTCATGTCTTAATTTTGTTTACCATAACTTAATTATTCATGTAATTTTGCATTCTGTACAATATTTTTGAATAAATTAAAATAATTTTTTTTTGTAATTTGCAGCAAAGTCATTTAGACATTTCCCCCCCAAGACTAATTAAAGATAATTTGCTCATTTCTCATCATTAGCAAGACTATTAATGTAGTTAGGTCACAGTAGTTTGCTTCCTTATGAAAATGCTATGTTCCAATAACCTTTTCATGGTAAATATAGCAACCACCTTAGTTCTCACAATACAAGAGTCCCTCCTTTCAATTGTGCTATTTAGATGCACTGTCACACAGTACTTAACAACATGTCGCTTTCGTTTTGAGTTACTGATGAAAGCCTATAAATACTGTAAAGTTCAAGTAAGGTCTTCTTACCTGATCTGTCACTGTGCTTACTTGTCTAATAAATATTAAATATTTATATCATTACACTTATTGTGGAGAAATGTGTTTCTCCTGAAAGGCCTAACCTGACTCTGTGCTGTGGAATGTACATTATGAAACAGATTTGCCTGGAGCTTGTTAGTCAAGAGTGACTGCTCTGAAAAGAACTGAGCAAAATGATCTTTACATTCTGATGGAAGGCACTTGTTTCAAATCAAAACACTTCCTGTAACCGATGAGGGACGTATCACAAGTGTAGCGTGTAACACAACCTTTCTGCTAAGATTTCATTTTTATCTCGTACAAAACGTTCTGTGTGAATGTTCGGACAGGTGTGCGACGCAGTCTTCAGTGTAATACAAACTCCTTCAACCAAGTTTTAATCTGTCACTCTGCACTGTGCTAATGTTTTGATTCCGCTAGCATATGTATAATAGAAAGGAAATATAATATAAAGGGGAAAAACCCTACATCGTAAAAAAGAGACAACACAAAACCTTTTCGAGTTTTCTTCCTGTCTCAGCCTCACCTCTCAACGCTGTTGTGATGTGTAGAGGCATGTGAACCCCCTACGGCATAAATGCTGCCATCAATGACCCCGACACCCACTCGGTTTCTGGGCGTGTTGAGCGGAGCCAGCTGGGTCCACTGGTTAGTCATGGGGTTGTAGCAGCACAAAGATCCAGACTCCATGTTGTTCTGCAGAGAGAGATTCCGTCCCCCGACCGTATAAAGGAGCCCGAACAACACGCACGCCCCGAGCCCGCTACAAGGACATCCCATGTCAGCTAGATTTATCCAGACATTCTTCCGTGGGTCGAAGGCTTCCAGAGAGTCCAGAGAGTGTTGCTTGTAACCTCCTGCTATGTAGATGAGCTGCGTCCCACGATGAGGAGCGGGCGGCAGGGGTTTTCGAAGAGCCATGTCCTGGAAGATCTTGGACAAGAAGTCCTTGCAAGAGTTGGCCTTGCTGAGGATGGGACAGGACTGCAGTTGTCTTTTGAGGAATGTGGGTGGCAGGGCATAGATGTGGACCGCGTTGAGGAGGGCATGGAAGTACTGCGCTCGGCTTTCCGCATCCCAGCGAACCCAGTCGATGCAGGCCTTGTAGACCTCGGACTCACAGAGCACCTTTAGACTGTCCTGACTGATCAGCTCCAGCAGCTGGCAATGGGACAAACTGAAGAACTCTTCCTCTTTGGTTACCTGTGACAAGGAAAAATATACATGCATATATGGACATATGGGTTCAATGGCCATGCAGATTCACCACTTTGACCAACAGAATGAAATTTTTGTTTGAAAGTGGCTTCTGTGTGAACATGCTTTATACATGGCTACACTATTGGTGATAGCCAATTGACCATATTGAAAATTGAATGTTTTTCTAATGTCATTTTCTAATGTGATTTCTAAAAATCCTTAAGAGAGCTAACAAATCTCATTCTTGCTCATTTTTAATTCAAAAACTGTGACTCTGGACATCACTGACACCAAGTTATGGGTTCCTTTTCTTAATTTTTAGCCACCAAAGCCTATTTTAATGGCAAGAACAGGATGGTTAAAAAAAGAAAAAAAGATTAACAATATAGAAACTCTTGCAGGAGGGAAGATAAGCAATGAACAAGGATTTTAGCAATGGACCCTTTTCACATTTCAGGGTTTCTCAGAAGCACATAGTTCTGAGCACATACAGCATATATGTATTAGTGCTGTCAAATGATTAATCGCATCCAAAACAAAGGTTTTTGTTTACATGTGTGTGTACTGTGTATATTTATTAAGTATATATAAATACACACACATGCATGTATATATATTTAAGAAAAATATATTATGTTTATATATTAAATATATTTATATTATTATATAATTTATATGAATATAAATATATCCATATAAATATTTTCAAAATATATGATGTATGTGTGTCTTTATATATGCATAATAAATATACACAGTACACACACATATATTACATAAACCAAAACCTTTATTTCGGATGCGATTAATCATTTGACAGCACTAATATATACATATATAAACATTGGAAAAAGTGTTAACTAGTTTTCTGTAATTTAACACCAAGGTAATAAAATGTATACATTTCATTTTTTTTTTAAGTGAAAAAATAAAAACATTCAGTGCTGGATTTATGATGTTAATAACTGAAGAAATGCAGTCTGTTAAAGGGTCCATTGCTTGGAGTTGTGTGGACCACATTTACTTTGGTCATTTTTGAGCATGATAGTATGAATCACCATCCATTTTCTTTGTATGGAAAAGAGCAGCTTGCACATTCTACCTAACATCCCTCATTTTCCATTTACGAATGAAGAAAGAAAATAATGAGTGAGTGAGTGAGTGACGTGTGGCGACCCATACTCGGAATTAGTGCTCTGCGTTTATCCCATCCAAAGTGCAGACACACAGCAGTGAACACACACCCGGAGCAGTGGGCAGCCATTTATGCTACGGCGCCCGGGGAGCAGTTGGGGGTTCAGTGCCTTGCTCAAGGGCACCTCAGTCGTGGTATTGAAGGTGGGAGAGAGCACTGTACATTCACTCCCCCCACCTACAATTCCTGCCGGTACGAGACTCGAACCCACAACCTTTTTGGGTTATGAGTCCGACTCTCTAACCATTAGGCCACGACTTCCCCATCCATTTGCGGGTTGTAGAGCAAACGATGCTAAAATAATCGTTTTTGGGTGAACAATTTCTGTAATTCCTGAATCATTTGACAGCTGGATAATTTATATGAATCAATATCCATCTGCAAGACAGACCTGAGTTCCACTGACAAAGCAATTAGCTACACAGTGCCATTCTCTATAGCCTTCATTCATTCATAGACTAACTGTTACAGGTCAATGGTTGAGTAGTAGTTACTTAAGAGAGCACAGCAGGTGGCAACTATCGATCACTGCTAACTGACACTTCGGTGAACGGAGTCCATGGGGCACGCACCTCATTGAAGTGAGTGTTGATATACTCTCGTGTGCGAAGGTGAAGATCGATGCAGCCGATCTCCTCTGCAAATCTCGAGATGCCTATGACATTTGATGGCTCCAGGTTCTTCATGAGGAAATCGCAGCATGCTTTGGCCACCTCTTCCATCTGATAGCGCATCGCAGTCAAGAGGACGTGAAGAACACACTTCTCGCCCACTGTTATACGGGAGGTGTAGGCAAAGTCAATGAGGCGGCTGATGACTTGAGGGCACACGTCTCGCAGGGTGACCTCCGAGGCATGGCATTCCTTGAAGTTACTGGTGAACATGGCTTTGAAGTAAGGACTGCAGGCAGCCAGCACCAGTTTATGCACCTGGGGTAAAAAAAACAGGCAGGACACACCTGAAACTAAATCATGAGAGCTGTATGTGCCGTGTTCTCGTAATTACAATCAAATGCCTTAACATGTACTAACATAATTCCACACTTGTAATGAGGACAATTTATCTTTGTATCTTTGCAGTGCCAGGGACATACCACATTAAAAATAACTATTACACGCTGAACCTGTTTCTTGATATTCAAGCAGTGAACGTTATGTAGTTTACTATACTAAATACTAGAGAAGAAAAGGGATGTGCTGATATTAAATCTAACTGATATAATAAGCTCCTTTTTTGTATTGTTAAGGGCAATACCTGATAAATGGATAATATTAAAATTCTGTCTAAATAAACAAAAAATAAAACACTAAAACCTATAAACATTAGAATGTACAATATGAAGAATGCACAAACATATTTTTTGAAGCACATAATAAATTACACCTTTTATAGCAATAATTTAATGCTTTTGTTTTGTGTAATATTTAATTTTATAATAATGTTTGCTTTTGTACTTTGCATAGAAAATATACACTACCATTCAGAGGTCGGTAAGTTAAATACTTTTATTCAGCAAGGGTGCATTAAAATGATCAAAAGTTAAAGACATTTACAGTATTGCAAAATATTTTTATTTCAAATAAATGCTGTTCTTTTGAACCTAAAGACTCCTGGGAAGAAAATGTTTCTTGAACAATAAATTAGCATATTATAATGATTTCTGAAGAATCATCTGATATTGAAGACTGGAGTAATGACTGCTGAAAATTCTGGTTTGCCATCACAGGAATAAATTACATTAACACAATATTAAAATAGTAATTTTAAAATCTAATAATATTATACAACATTGCTGCTTTTACTCCACTTTTGAATAAATAAATGCAACAGTGGTAAGTTTGCAGAGACTTCCTTAAAAAAACTGGGGGGAAAAAATGACTAGCCTTAAACTTATGAACTCTAGTGCATATGAATGCTGTTTTACATTTTTAATAACTTTTGAGTACTGATTCACAAATGTAAGTAGTTTAATCTGTTCACACTGGACTTAAATGTATAATCCACCTCTCTGTAAATCTAGAAATCTTTACGTAATAAATATTTGTTGCAAAATATTTCAAAGCTGTTAGTCATGTATAATCAATTATGAGACAGTGCTTTCTCACAGGTCAAGGCCACACAGTCTTATGAATAACTGAGATACTAATGTAGCCGAGCACTGTATAGTGCATGGAAAAAGTCTGTGATGTTGACTCAAACCCAGTCAACCAAAATAGGCCCGAAAAACCTAAGTACCTAAAAATACTGTCTATTAACATTGTTCTCCATTATGCAGTTGTTAACTGTGAGATACTTAATTCAATTAAAGCAAAAAAAAACAAAAAAAAACGGACCTGTGCTGAAATAGAAAGTCTCATGGCACTTTAAGTAGAATAAAACAGCTTTTCTATGGCATTGATCCTTTTAAACATGCTATTCAAGCATTCTTGCACATTTGCAACCAAATTCCATATCTCTTACCTTAAAATCTACTATCTTGTCTTTGTAAGTTACATGTAGCACCAGATCACAGAGCAACTCATGATGGCGGAGCTCATCCATGATCTGCATGGCTCTAAAGGGATGACTTTCAACTGTGTAATCCAAGTAACCATGACCCCTCATGGAGGGCACCACAATGGCAGAGAAATCCTCATCTTTGATGGGCCTCTTCTTTCTTGGACATATCATTATCCGAGACCTAGAATGTCACTGATATAAGTAGGAAATGGATGGCGACTGCAGTGGAACAATGTCTAAATCCATCCACGTGTCATGAAGAAATAAAGGCACAACTGATGATCGCTTAGAGATAGAGAGCCATGTTTCTTCTGCCTGGTTAGAAGTCCACCATACCAAGTTTCTGTATCAAGCCAAGTTGGCATTGTTGAAATATTACGCGCTGTTTCCCTTAAATCAGACAAATGCTGCTATTTGTCTAGTATAGATGAAGTAAAAAGTTTTTTTATTTTTATACTCTAGAGGATGTACAAGCAAAGTTATCTTAAAGTTTATTTTAAGCACACGCATTAAAAATGCAATATTCTTTTCTTCCAAAAGGTTATTGTCCTCTGAGATGGTCCGAGCTCTTTTCACCCTGTGAAAAACAGAGATACAACATTGAGAAATGTTTATCAAATGCATAATTGAATATAGCCAAGGTGATCGAGGAAGATATCTTAGATATAAAACTAAACAAACACTACATGGAACAGGCGATATACAAGGAATACAATGGCAGCATTACGTAAATCCTTAAGAGGCAATTTCTACTATAACAATGTGTACAAGAAACTGTCTTTAAGTACAGTCTATGTTGTTGACAGTTGCACAGACTTGGCTGAATCAGGTTTCACTTCCCTATTCATTGACGGATGTCAAGTAGACTTCAAAAAAGCGAAAACAGCCAAGCCACACCCTTATTCACAGACGCAACATGTGATTTCCTGCGTTATACAGACAATACTTTGAAAACCATGCTTGTGGCACAACTGGAATAGTTGGAATAGTGTATCAAAAGACCTTTGGAATAGTTGGAATAGTGTATCAAAAGACCTTTGTGCACACTAACATGGTTTTCAAGTGAGGGCCAAAGTCTCTGTTGTTGATCAGTCTAGAAGTTGTTGCTCATCAGAAGCTAATTTTTTTTCATGGGTTATGTAACGTCCCACACTTGCAGGTCATCTCTGCTGCTCTTATTGCACAATCCAGAGTGCTGAGGACACACTTATTTGTCTTAAAGCAGGGGTTATCACAAGACAACACTGCCAGCAACGGCTTCTTTTGGAACTAAGACGGCATCTTCAGTCATGGCCTCCATCCCTCATAAAGGCTCATTGAGTCAAACTCCCACATGCCATATTGCTAAGCCGGACTTTAAAGAGAACGTTAACATGCTGCGCTGTGCACATTAGCACCATGGCTTTGGTGGGATTAACCATTAACTCGCTGAGTGTCAGGTTATTTGAAAAATTACAAAACAGAAAGTGAAAAGCTGGAACTTTTTGTGGAAGGTGCTGCCAAGTGAACTTTTGTTCTGGTTAACTACCATGTTGAGCTGTGGAGGATGATGCAATTAAATGCATAGTCATTATTTGTCTAGCCTCACGTCGTTCGAAGCCTACATACTGTGTCTATGGAACAAAACGGTTGACATTTTTGAAGTACCTTTACACTGCAGTTTCTATACAATGGCTATGTTTACGTGTATACCATTAGTCAGGGTGAGGAATTACTTGGATTAAGATAAGTTTACATGACACAGGCAAACCCCAATTTTCAATCCTGCTTTTCAAGGCTACTTTGATTACTCACTAATAAATGTGGTTTTATCTGTACCTGTTCACTTGTTCCCCAAACTATAACATTAAATGTTTAATTCAAATACTGTTTGTTGCTGATTTCATTTGACAAATGCAAAAATGTTCTAGAGTAATAAACCTACCTCATTCGTATGCAGCACTAGCACATGTACACTTGCTGCTTAACTAGTAATAAAACTGTGTCAAATTCTTGAAACAATTTGAGAATTCAATTAATGAGGTTTAGCGTGCTTTCCTCTTCTTATCAATGTTTTCATTTTATTTGACCTATATATTCATTCTATAAATAATATTTATTTTATTTTCATTAAATTTATTCATTCATTTTGCTTTTCCTCAGTTTTTTTCCTCTTGTTTGGTGGTACATGTGAAATTTTCTGTAAATAGTACATTTCTGTCAATGTTCTGCTCTATAATGCTCTCTGAAAGTGTTTGTACATTATCATTTCTGTTTCTTTAATAAAAAAGCACACTTTGGCAAGAGTGCAATAAATGCGATTAAAGCATATACACTCTCATATAAGTGTGATTAAAATGTGCATTTTACTGCAATTATGGTTACTCAGATTATAAGCATAATCACACTAACGTAATCACAGTATCCTGTTTACATGAGCTCCAACTTAACCGCAGTACTGCTCTAACTGCATTATGCATGCAAACGTAGCCAGTTCATATAGTGGCCACATCTGAAAAAAACTCTTCTGTCTAGCCTCTGCTCATGTACAGACTTTTAAAAAAAACCTCTATGATATGTCCACTGTGCCTTGCAGTGTTTCTGTTCTTTATGGAGCTTGACAGATGTGGTCACATGAACTGATTAAAAAGTCTTTAAAATTTTTACTTTTGTGCTCTGCAAAACAAACAAGTTGGGAATTGCATGAGTAATTAATGACAGATTTGACAATTTGGGCTGACTATGCCTTTAATAAAACAAAGTCCTCATCACTTATGGGATTTCCAAGGAGAGCGAGAGGGAGGGAGAGTGCGATTCCACTGTGTCACAGTTATATAGCTGAGTTCAGCAAGAGAACAAAACACCTCATTGATAACTGAACCATGACACATCTCCATTGCCCTGATAAAGAGTATGTCAGTCTATGAGTAGTCTGGAAGGTGTTCATGATTACGCGGAAAACTGTGAATCATAAAGACACTGGGTACATGACAGGGTGGTGATCACTGGCCTAGAATCAGGCTGATGTGAAATTCTTTGTTCAGATGAAGTTCTAAGTACTCTGAATTCCTTGCACAATGGTCGTAATCTACTAGTTATCTTGGAAAGAGTCAGATGTGCTCTGTCACACATGCACACACTATAGGAATGTACTGCAAAGTGACTCACAGAGAGATGACTAATACCAGTTCAATTAGCTTAGGACAATAAAGGATCACCTGATGGCCCAGGGCCAGTGAGTTTCGGGACAGTTGACTGAACAGTCAGACCAGTGCTGCAATTTGCCACTATGCCTTATGAGGTCCTGCTTGGTCACCCAGTTGGAGGTTTATTTCATAATAACAACCAGCTAATTGTACTTTATCCCTTACATAACTTTTAGCTATTATTGGTGAGTAAATAACTAATCTAACTAAACTAATCTGCTGCACATAAACTGAGGCATTACAATTTGCTGCTAAAAATAAAATTTTTGGAAGCTCCAGTGAAAAATCTGAACTACTGCAGCAGAATGGTCTATAACATAATCATATGTGCATGTAGCACTTTCACCTGTCAAATCAGCATGGAAACAATTAATTAAAAAAATAACAGAATCATATAATTAAGCAATATCACACAAGCAAGAGTGCTGTTGTTCTGAACTTCAACAATCAGTCAGCGTTGAGTGACTTACATTTTAGACAATACTGCCAGTTATTTTGTCTATTTGTGCTTTGTCAATGAAAATAGCTGCAGTTAAAAAGGGGACAATCAACACAAAGCAGTTGTTTTTTTATTAAATGAATCAGTGTTTTGAACTAGTTCGCTGAATGTATGATTTGCTCATAAACAGTTGCATGTCGCCACCTACTGGCACAGCAGTGTCTCTCACAAATGGAAATAGAGTTGTAATGATTACGGCAAAAGGAAGCTTTGCTAAGCACAGTTTCGCTAAACCGCATAATAAAAGTTTTTTTTTACTCAAAGTTTTTTTTTTTTAAACAATTACAGTGTCCATCTAGTGGTCAAAAAGAACAACACCTACAAATCTGCTGTGCCCCATTACAGCCACAGCTTTTACATTTTATCTCTGCAAATGATACTTTATGAATTTTGTTTTTATTTATTTATTAATAAATAAGAGTCATTGTCAAAAGTGATTATAAGTCGTTTGGGTGTATTTACACTAAAAAAAAATCATAAAATTTGCAATGTCGATTTTGACATGTTTCATGTGAGCTTCACACAGTAATTACCATACTCAAAATAAAAAAACTAAATTTAAAAAGTCTATCTTTTACGCCTGCAATCAGACTTTATGGATCTCTGGCAGATACTGTAGCAGATCGTTTTACAGTCAGGATTCCTCCAAGGCTTCCTGAAGATCATATTCCTTGTTGGGTTACACCCAGGCCTTTGACCTTAGCAGCATTTGTGAGGTTTGTTTTACTGATTCTTGCCTTGTCATGGTCTTAAGGAAGTTATTGAAGCACAAACATTGTTTTCCATGTAAATTCCACCAAGAGCAGGAGGCGCAAGAGCAAATATGTTCCAACAAAGGAAGCAAAGTTTACTGTTAGAAAGATCAGGTACATATGCAAAGCGTTTTCTTATGGCAGTGTTAGCACTGAATTTGTCATTGTTAGTTCTGTGAATGCATTTTACACATTGAATCAATTAGTATTTATTTATTATGTAATTATCATATGATTATAATAATCATATTATAATAATTATAATATCTACTCATCTTTAAAATGACACCTTTTAATGCTCGCCATGCAAACTTTAGTATAGCACTTTAGAATCACAATAAAATATCATAATTTGCTGTTAATTACAGGTGTAGTTGTTTTTGTGTGTGTGTTATTTCATGTTGCACAAGAAGATAATGGACTTTGTCCTATGCTTGTATAATATGCAGTCCGCTTCTTTGCAGTGTGTGCAGGTCATCAGGTGTGCTCTTTCATGTACACATTCAGTGCCAAGAGAATAAAGGAAATGCCTAACAGCACAGTGACACAGCAGAACATGAGATTGACTGATAACCCTCCATGCACAGCAGCCCCCTCCCATTATGCAACCCTCCCTACTTGTTTCTTAATATGTTTATTATATAAAACCCATTGTATTTGACTGCTTCACAGATTCATTTGTAATGTGTATCAAAATAATTTGCATATTGATTAGTCAGCAGAAAAAAACAGTAACCAACTGAAACTTTTACATTTTTTAGCAATTGAAGATTTGCTTAATAACATGTTAGTTTATATACGCTATGATTATTTGCATAGCCTGACAACTTTAGAGTTTGTATTATCAGTTGTTGTCAAATTCTCATTTCTATAATTCTCAATCCTAAAAATAATTCTATCTCAAATTGAGTCAAATACATTGTGTTTGTGCTCCCTCTAATGGTTGCTTTTGAATGGCATGCAGCTCCATTGCCTAGATTTGCTTTAATTATGCACTGTGATATTGGTCTTTGTGTCTGTAGTTATACTTTTAAATAGCTGATCGTAACATTGAAGAAAGTGCAGAATAAAAGAGAGTATCATTGTATATAATTAAAGATCTGAACAGCATCAGAACAATTAGAGCATGTAAATGACCACAAAATAGTTTTTATTTACGCATTATTTTGCCTATATGTTCATATAATGCATTGACTTTTAAATCTCATTTTAGTTTAGCTTTTTCTTAAGCATACCAGGGGCGTCATGTTGAGATATTTTACAACTTTGAGTCATGCATTTGAATTGAACAATACATTCTCCAAATATTTTCATTTTCACAAAGAGTATAGTAGCACAAATACATGATTATACACATTCCAGTAATGCAGGACATACTGCAGGGTTTGTATAACCTAAAGAGGATAGAGAAAGTAAATACAGCATTTGGGGAATGAATAAAGAATTGGCAAAAGAAGAGAATGAAGGGTGAAATTTCTTGTTTGATTGTCCATGCATTTCACCCAGCACATTGAATCCAGATGGAGATGAGGAGAAAGAGCAAGTTAACAACTCAGAGTCTCTTGGGAATTTTGGCTACAGATTTGCTAGATCTTGCCATCACAGAGTGTATGGTTGATATACATCTGTCATGCATTATTGGGGGGCTGCCAAAGGTGCTTCTCTGGCTTTAGAAACTATGTCAGGGGTATTCGTCAGGAATGATGATCTGATTTGTATTTCTTTGACTGTTCATTCCATGTTAATTCACATTTATCCATTCTTTAAAGAAATAATACGTTGTAACATACATTACAATATAAACAAAGCTTAACCGAGTCTGGAAAGGCTTTGACCCTACTTCAAACAAACATTTTCTTTCTTGTTTGATTGTCGATGCATTTCACCCAGCACATTGAATCCAGATGGAGATGAGGAGAAAGAGCAAGTTAACAACTCAGAGTCTCTTGGGAATTTTGGCTACAGATTTGCTAGATCTTGCCATCACAGAGTGTATGGTTGATATACATCTGTCATGCATTATTGGGGGGCTGCCAAAGGTGCTTCTCTGGCTTTAGAAACTATGTCAGGGGTATTCGTCAGGAATGATGATCTGATTTGTATTTCTTTGACTGTTCATTCCATGTTAATTCACATTTATCCATTCTTTAAAGAAATAATACGTTGTAACATACATTACAATATAAACAAAGCTTAACCGAGTCTGGAAAGGCTTTGACCCTACTTCAAACAAACATTTTCTCCCAATCAGTGAGGATTGTACCGCTGGGGTCAGTGACTGTCTCTGTGTATTAAGAGGAAATTGCTTGATTTACAGTGATTTCAGCACATGTTTCGCAGAGCTGGAGCCTCTCCCAGCTTTCCAAACATTTTTAAGAGGGTTTCTGTGTCGGCCAAGTTGATTGGACATAAAATGCTGAGGTGTGTTGGACTAAGGTTTAACCCCCCTTGGGTAATCATCATTATATCACTGCATGTCCAATTTGGGTTCCTCGGGGTGCTTCAAAACAAAGCAGCCAATGCTTTCACACTCGGCTTGAATGCTGCGAGTCCAAGCCTCCGTCCCGAAGAGAATTCCCCCTGAAATCTTTATGGTGGGATAATTTGTTCCACATGCCAGAGCTCACCCACTAAATCACAG